CTTGTAACGTCAGTAGGCTACTAAACTATGCTTTGGAGGGGGAGGGGCCTACATACGCACACACACTGGCAAAACATTTCAGCTGGCAGGCAGGCAGACACTGGAATACGTTTCTGAGTGACAGAGTGAGGGCTTTGCATAGGCACTTTGTTGCGTTTTTTTTGTGGGACTGGAAAAAAATGTCCGGAACTGAAATAACGTTATTTACCGGTTCCCCTGTTTTTAAAATAACGGTTCTGTTCCGGAACCGTATAGATCACTTTCGTTCGCGGTTCTGATTCTGTTCCTTGAAATGTTTTGTTATTTTCCAGTTTTCTGTTCTTTTCCCTGAACCGGTTCCAACCCCTAGTCATTACCACTAAATACATAATTTTATATCCCATCAAGGTGTGCCACGGTTCAAAAAAGGTTGGGAACCACTGCACTAATGAACAAACCCCTGATGTGACTGCTCTGTGTTGTTGTCCTCAGGAAGAGATCCCTCGCCAGCTGCAGTACATCAGTCTCTACCTGCTGCACGTCTCTGCAGCATACCTGCTCAAGTAAGCACATGTAGAAGCTAGGGATGTGACAAATGTAAAAAAAATCTTAACATTTAAACTGCCATTTTTAAAAATTGTTTCGAGGTGGCATCTTGTAGTCTGGTTCTAGACATGCCATTGACAATGGCTGCATATCAGCTGCAATCATTTCTGTAATCAGCGCAGTGATTTTCTCATTCCGTCCCTTATCGCACTACTGCCAGTAACAGGTTGGGTCTCACGGTGCCTCCCTTTCTGCATTGCACCTGTACTGCCACTGTAGCTCAATTCCACCTCGCAAAGTTTGCATTTCACAACCTGCTCATTTAACTTCTCAAAGTATTGCCATACAGGACTTCGCTGCTGTCGCTTCCCTGTCTCACTCTGCAATCTTTTCAACTATTAACGAGGATGACTTGCGGAGCAAATAATTTGAAAGATTCATATCTCCAAACGTTACAGCATTGTTACGTTAGGTATTTGTTAAATGTTTATTTTTCCCTTGATGATGATCGGGACTTGTTAGTTTTTTGATAACTGCCCTGTGATTGTAATTATTTTAATATGTTTTTCGGTTAGTGATTCTTTTAAAACGTTAACAATCCCAATTTCATTTAAACGTCACACCCCTAATAGAAGCATGCATATAAGCATAGATAAGCAGTTAATATTAGCACAAATACATATAAAGCATATATAACCTCATGAGCACCAATAAACATAGAAGCATAGATAAGCACATACAGTGCCTTCAGAATGTATTCACACCCCTTAACTTATTCCACATTTTGTTGTGTTACAGCCTGAATTTAAAATAGATTACATTGAGGTTTTGTGTCACTGGCCTACACACAATACCCCATAATGCCAAAGTGGAATTATGTTTTATACAAATTAAATAATAATGAAATGCTGAAATGTCTTGATTCAATAAGTATTCAACCCCTTTGTTATGGCATGCCTAAATAAGTTAATGAGTAAAAATGTGCTTAACAAGGCACATAATTAGTTGCATGGACTCACTTTGTGTGCAATAATAGTATTTAACATGAATTTTGAATGACCTCATCTCTGTACCCCACACATACAATTATCTGTAAGGTCCCATAGTCGAGCAGTGAATTTCAAACACTGATTCAACCACAAAGACCAGGGAGGTTTTCAATGCCTTGCAAAGAAAGGGACCTATTGGTAGATGGGTAAAAAAAAAAACACATTGAATATCCCTTTGAGCATGGTGAAGTTATTAACTACACTTTATATGGTGTATCAATATACCCAGTCTCTACAAAGATACAGGCGTCCTTCCTAACTCAGTTGCCGGAGAGGAAGGAAATCATTTAGGGATTTCACTATGAGGTCAATGGTGACTTTAAAACAGTTACAGAGTTTAATGGCTGTGATATGAGAACTGAGGATGGATCAACAACATTGTAGTTGCTCCACAATACTAACAATATATACACTGGAGTTGCTTACCAAGACGACATTGAATGTCCCTGACTGGCCTAGTTACAGTTTTGAATTAAATCGGCTTGAAAATCTTTGGCAAGACTTGAAAATGGCTGTCTAGAAATGATCAACAACGAACTTGCCAGAGCTTAAATAATATTTGTTAGTATAATGTGCAAATGTTGTACAAACAAGATGTGCAAAGCTCTTGGAGACTTACCCAGAAAGACTCACAGCTGTAATTGCTGCCAAAGGTGATTCTAACATGTATTGACTCAATGTGAATACTTAAGTACATTTTCAATATATTTGCTAAATTGTTTCCAAAAACATGTTTTCACTTGATCATTAAGAGGTATTGTGTGTAGATGGGTGAGTGAAAACATATATTTAATCCATTTAGAAGTCAGGCAGTAACACAACAAAATGTGGAATAAGTCAAGGGGTATGAATACGTTTTGAAGGCACATATAAACACACAGTACCAGTCAAAAGTTTGGACACCTACTCATTCAATGGTTTTCTTTATTATTACTATTTTCTACATTGCAGAATAGTGAAGACATCAAAACTATGAAATAACACATATGGAATCATGTAGTAACCAAAGAAGTGTTAAACAAATCAACATATATTTTGTATTTGAGATTCTTCAAATAGCATTCTCTCAACCAGCTTCATGAGGAATGCTTTTCTAACAGTCTTGAAGGAGTTCCCACATATACTGAGCACTTGTCTGCTTTTCCTTCACTCTGCTGTGCAACTCATCCCAAACCATCTCAATTGGGTTGAGGTCGGGGGATTGTGGAGGCCAGGTCATCTGATGCAGCACTCCATCACTCTCCTTGGTCAAATAGCCCTTACACAGCCTGGAGGTGTGTTTTGGGTCATTGTCCTGTTGAAAAACAAATGGTAGTCCCACTAAGTGCAAACCAGATGGGATGGCGTATCGCTGTGGTAGCCATGCTGGTTAAGTGTGCCTAGAATTATAAATAAATCACTGACAGTGTCACCAGCAAAGCACCAGCACACCACCTCCTCCATGCTTCATGGTGGGAACCACACATGCGGAGATCATCCGTTCACCTACTCTGCGTCTCACAAAGACACGGCGCTTGGAACCAAAAATCTCAAATTTGGACTCATCAGACCAAAGGACACATTTCCACGATCTAATATCCATTGCTCGTGTTTCTTGGCCCAAGCAAGTCTCTTCATATTATTGGTGTCCTTTAGTAGTGGTTTCTTTGCAGCAATTCGACCATGAAGGCCTGATTCACGCAGTCTCCTCTGAACAGTTGATGTTGATGTGTCTGTTACTTGAACTCTGTGAAGCATTTATTTGGGCTGCAATCTGAGGTGCAGTTAACTCTAATGAACTTATCCTCTGCAGCAGAGGTAACTCTGGGTCTTCCATTCCTGTGGCGGTCCTCATAAGAGCCAGTTTCATCACAGCGCTTGATGGTTTTTGCGACTGCACTTGAAGAAACTTGAAAAGTTCTTGAAATGTTCCGGATTGACTGACCTTCATGTCTTAAAGTAATGATGGACTGTCGTTTCTCTTTGCTTATTTGAGCTGTTCTTGCCATGATATGTACTTGGTCTTTTACCAAATAGGGCTATAATCTGTATACCCCCCCTACCTTGTCACAACACATACTGATTGGCTCAAGCGCATTAAGAAGGAAATAAATTCCACAAATTTACTTTTAACAAGGCACACCTGTTAATTGAAACGCATGTTAAGAGAATGCCAAGAGTGTGCAAAGCCCTCATCAAGGCAAAGGGTGGCTACTTTGAAGAATCTCAAATATAAAATATACTTTGATTTGTTTAACACTTTTTTTGGTTACTACATGATTCCATATGTGTTATTTCATCATTTTGATGTCTTCACTATTATTCTACAATGTAGAAAATAGTAAAAATAAAGAAACTCTTGAATGAGTAGGTGTCCAAACTTTTGACTGGTACTGTATATAAGCACCTATACTGTAAGAGCACCTGAGAGTTGCCATATTCATGTTTTAGCTGAACAGCAACACTTTTACTCCAAATTTGTACTTGCATAAGGACTTCATAACACATGCATAACCTGTACATGTAAATTGATGACATTCTTAAAAGGCATAAAAGCATTTCACTGACTGTTATTTACATTTTTTCTAATGATTGTATCTCTCTCCCCTGCCTCTCTCACTACTTCCTTCTATTCCTCCCCTTCTTCCATGTCCTTCTCCCTCACCGCCCCCTCCCCCCTCCTTTCTCCCCTCCCTCAGTTTGAGTCGTGTGGGACTGGTGCTCCTCTGCCTCCAGTACCTGTCTGAGCTGGGCTTCCACATCGCCAGAATGTTCTACTTCACTGATGAGAGCCACCAAAAGATGTGAGTTTATACTTCCAACTCAGTGGCTTTGTGGTTAGTGTCCGTCCTGAGATTGGAAGGTTGGGGGTTTGATCCCTGGTTGAGTCATACCAAAGACTCTAAAAATGGTACCCGATGCCTCTACTTGGCAGATGGATTGGGGGTAATGCCCTGCGATAGACTAGCGTTGTGTCTAGGGGGTGTACTTGTATGTCATGCTGCCTCACTTTACAGAATCAGGCCATTCTGGCTCGGACAAGGCTTACTTACTTTTACTTCCAACTGCACAACATATATATATATATATATATATATATATATATATATATATATATATAAACAGCACTTCATTAAAGGTAAACTGCACAATATCACCAGACACAGTGGGGCGACTTCCTGAAAAACAACCTGCCAAGACTCTCACTATTGGCTCTTCCCAATATCCACATTCTTGGCAAATCTGAATTTTGTTGTTGATTTCCAAAAATGCTGTAAATCTCCCTGATGTGTATGATGATGTCTTATTGCTGACTCTACCTTTAACGGCACTGCATGCCGTATGCAATCAATCCTAGCATAATCACAATCCATTTATGTAATGTACTGATGTGTTGGGTGTGTGTCCAGGTTTGACCTGTGGGCAGTGAGCTTTGTGTTCACGCGGATGGTGACCCTTACCCTTATGTTCCTGGCTGTGGGCTTCGGGTTGGCCCGTGCCGAAAACCAGGGACTGGACTGGGACTTGGGCAACTTTAACACTGTGCTGATACGGTAAGGGGTTTTTGGTGGCTGTCTTGAGCAGCATACTTCAATGTGTAATGTACACAAACTGCTCCACACACACACACACACACACACACACACACACACACACACACACACGTGTGCACACTAATACTATGTCTCCCTCTCACTCACACAAACGCACACACCACTCTCTCCCTAACCCTCTCTCTCTCATCCCTCTGTATAGGATGACTGTGCTGTTGCTGGTGTGTCTGACCCAGTCCTGGCTCCTGTGGAAGTTTATCCGTTTCCAGCTGAGGCGGTGGCGAGAGTTCCGACATGAACAGGCCGCTAGGAAGAAGGCCGCCGCCAAGCAAACCCCCCGACCGCTTAAGAGAGACTCCCGTGAGTGGAGACGCACACACTTTGGAATGGGTTTATACCACCTCTTATGACATTGTTCAAGATCAGTAGGGGATTTATAACAAGAGTTGTCAAGTTAGAAGATAGTCAATCGTATGAGTTGAAGCCATTCTATTGCAGCGAACAATAACATGTTGATTATCTGACTATTTGTTAATGTGTGTATGCCCTCTTCTCCTCCCTCCCTCTTCCAGTTGGCCACCATGAAAATGGCGTGATCAAAGCCGAGAATGGAGCCTCCCCTCGGCCCAAGAAGATCAAGGCCCCCTAATGGCTCCACCCGTAATGGCTGCCCTAACAGTGGCCCTGATTATATGGCTTATCAATCAGAGGAACAGGAAACTGGTCCCACACGGTTCATCTTCTTCCTGTTTTGCGTGTTCCGGAGGTGACGCAGGGCCTGGGTCTGTCTCTATGGACACAACACAGCTTTAAAAATGCTGGAAGAAAATGAAAATCTAAAACCAAACACCCTTGAGCCCTGAACAGACATTTACTCTCTCTACTCTAATATCAGTATTTTTTTTTTTTTTATACACCCACGCCGCCTGCTATGGCCACTGTTTTTTGAGCTCCCTTTGTATACAAAATGATGAAAATGCTATTTGTGTGGCACACTGTATACTGTATGTGTCATATTGAATGTGTCGATGCCTCATGCGTTTAAGTACTGTACTGGTCTAGTGTTTGTCGAAATGCCGCCGCCGCTGTTTTTGAGCTCTGCTGTTGTCGCCGTTGAATGAGCTGGCTTCGCTTTTGTTTTTAGCATTGGTCGTATTCATTAGGCACCAAACGGAAGAAAATGGACTGAAACATGGAGGCACTATCTGGACTTGTCCAATAAGAAACGTACATTTTTGGTTTCTGTTGCAAAATGTTTTAATGTTTCGTGCCCTAATGAATACGACCCTGGTAATGTGGTGCAGGATGGATGTTGCTGATGCTACGGTGGCCCTAGAGGGACATCCGAACGTGCTGGCTTTGACGCTACCCAGTCAGTGATGGGTAGTGTGTAGAATGGGCGGGACCAGGTTGATATTGGACCAATCATGGGGCTCTGGTTACTCCTTGGCCCCTCCCTCTGGGTCATGGTTGGTGTGACTCGGACCGCGCTGTGCTCATGCTGTAGTCACTTGACACAAACCATGACCATCCTGATGACCATCATGTATGTTGGATAATACCGCATGACATTCCATTGTTTTTGTTAAAGAAGTATCTATTATTACTTAATTAAATAATGCATTTTTCTCAGTTGACGGTGGTCTGGACTGTAATTTTTCAACCATAAAACTCCTGATGTGGAACACTACACACTAAAATGTAAAAATAACTGATAATCTAAAAATGGAAAAATTGTCACACATATGATTCTATGTCTGTAATTTGCAATTACCATGATGGGATTCTGTTTTGTATGTGGAAAACGTACAGATTGTTTCCAAGTAATTTTCCATATGGCCATAGCCACAACGTTGGAAGTATGGCAGGCACAAAAGTGCTGTTTCCGAAAACGTTATTGTCCGTCAAATCCTTGCTTCCTCCTTCCTTGCTTCCTCAGTTTCTCTCATAGGTCATTGGCGAAGGAGGTCTGTGGGGGGACCTGGAAAGGCGAGGGACAGTTTATATACACTGCTCAAAAAAATAAAGGGAACACTAAAATAACACATCCTAGATCTGAATGAATGAAATCTTATTAAATACTTTTTTCTTAACATAGTTGAATGTGCTGACAACAAAATCACACAAAAATGATCAATGGAAATCAAATGTATCAACCCATGGAGGTCTGGATTTGGAGTCACCCTCAAAATTGAAGTGGAAAACCACACTACAGGCTGATCCAACTTTGATGTAATGTCCTTAAAACAAGTCAAAATGAGGCTCAGTAGTGTGTGTGGCCTCCACGTGCCTGTATGACCTCCCTACAACGCCTGGGCATGCTCCTGATGAGGTGGCGGATGGTCTCCTGAGGGATCTCCCAGACCTGGACTAAAGCATCCGCCAACTCCTGGACAGTCTGTGGTGCAACGTGGCGTTGGTGGATGGAGCGAGACATGATGTCCTAGATGTGCTCAATTGGATTCAGGTCTGGGGAACGGGCGGGCCAGTCCATAGCATCAATGCCTTCCTCTTGCAGGAACTGCTGACACACTCCAGCCACATGAGGTCTAGCATTATCTTGCATTAGGAGGAACCCAGGGCCAACCGCACCAGCATATGGTCTTACAAGGGGTCTGAGGATCTCATCTCGGTACCTAATGGCAGTCAGGCTACCTCTGGCGAGCACATGGAGGGCTGTGCGGCCCCCCCAAAGAAATGCCACCCCACACCATGACTCACCCACCGCCAAACCGGTCATGCTGGAGGATGTTGCAGGCAGCAGAACGTTCTCCACGGCGTCTCCAGACTCTGTCACGTCTGTCACATGTGCTCAGTGTGAACCTGCTTTCATATGTGAAGAGCACAGGGCGCCAGTGGCGAATTTGAAAATCTTGGTGTTCTCTGGCAAATGCCAAACGTCCTGCACGGTGTTGGGCTGTAAGCACAACCCCCACCTGTGGACGTCGGGCCCTCATACCACCCTCATGGAGTCTGTTTCTGACCGTTTGAGCAGACACATGCACATTTGTGGCCTGCTGGAGGTCATTTTGCAGGGCTCTGGCAGTGCTCCTCCTGCTCCTCCTTGCACAAAGGCGGAGGTAGCAGTCCTGCTGCTGGGTTGTTGCCCTCCTACGGCCTCCTCCACGTCTCCTGATGTACTGGCCTGTCTCCTGGTAGCGCCTCCATGCTCTGGACACTACGCTGACAGACACAGCAAACCTTCTTGCCACAGCTCGCATTGATGTGCCATCCTGGATGAGCTGCACTACCTGAGCCACTTGTGTGGGTTGTAGACTCCGTCTCATGCTACCACTAGAGTGAAAGCACCACCAGCATTCAAAAGTGACCAAAACATCAGCCAGGAAGCATAGGAACTGAGAAGTGGTCTGTGGTCACCACCTGCAAAACCAGTCCTTTATTGGGGGTGTCTTGCTAATTGCCTATAATTTCCACCTGTTATCTATTCCATTTGCACAACAGCATGTGAAATGTATTGTCAATCAGTGTTGCTTCCTAAGTGGTCAGTTTGATTTCACAGAAAAGTGATTGACATGGAGTTACATTGTGTTGTTTAAGTGTTCCCTTTATTTTTTTGAGCAGTGTGTATATATACAGTGAGGGGAAAAAAATATTTGATCCCCTGCTGATTTTTTATGTTTGCCCACTGACAAAAAAATGATCAGCTTATACTTTTAATGGTAGGTTTATTTGAACAGTGAGAGACAGAATAACAACAAAGAAATCCAGAAAAATGCATGTAACAAATGTTATAAATTGATTTGCATTTTAATGAGGGAAATAAGTATTTGACCCCTTCTCAATCAGAAAGATTTCTGGCTCCCATGTGTCTTTTATACAAGTAACGATCTGAGATTAGGAGCACACTCTTAAAGGGAGTGCTCCTAATCTCAGTTTGTTACCTGTATAAAAGACACCTGTCCACAGAAGCAATCAATCAATCAGATTCCAAACTCTGCACCATGGCCAAGACCAAAGAGCTCTCCAAGGATGTCAGGGACAAGATTGTAGACCTACACAAGGCTGGAATGGGCTACAAGACCATGGCCAAGCAGCTTGGTGAGAAGGTGACAACAGTTGGTGTGATTATTCGCAAATGGAAGAAACACTAAATAACTGTCAATCTCCCTCGGCCTGGGGCTCCATGCACGATCTCACCTTGTGGAGTTACAATGATCATGAGAACGGTGAGGAATCAGCCCAGAACTACACGGGAGGATCTTGTCAATGATCTCAAAGCAGCTGGGACCATAGTCACCAAGAAAACAATTGGTAACACACTACGCCGTGAAGGACTGAAATCCTGCAGCGTCCGCAAGGTCCCCTTGCTCAAGAAAGCACATATACAGGGCCGTCTGAAGTTTGCCAAATAACATCTGAATGATTCAGAGGAGAACTGGGTGAAAGTGTTGTGGTCAGATGAGACCAAAATCGAGGTCTTTGGCAAAACTCAACTCGCCGTGTTTGGAGGAGGAGGAATGCTGCCTATGACCCCAAGAACACCATCCCCACCGTCAAACATGGAGGTGGAAACATTATGCTTTGGGGGTGTTTTTCTGCTAAGGGGACAGGACAACTTCACCGCATCAAAGGGACGATGGACGGGGCCATGTACCGTCAAATCTTGGGTGAGAACCTCCTTCCCTCAGCCAGGGCATTGAAAATGGGTCGTGGATGGGTATTCCAGCATGACAATGACCCAAAACACATGGCCAAGGCAACAAAGGAGTGGCTCAAGAAGAAGCAGATGAAGGTCCTGGAGTGGCCTAGCCAGTCTCCAGACCTTAATCCCATAGAAAATCTGTGGAGGGAGCTGAAGGTTTGAGTTGCCAAACGTCAGCCTCAACACCTTAATGACTTGGAGAAGATCTGCAAAGAGGAGTGGGACAAAATCCCTCCTGAGATGTGTGCAAACCTGGTGGCCAACTACAAGAAACGTCTGACCTCTGTGATTGCCAACAAGGGTTTTGCCACCAAGTACTAAGTCATGTTTTGCAGAGGGGTCAAATACTTATTTCCCTCATTAAAATGCAAATCAATTTATAACATTTTTGACATGCGTCTTTCAGGATTTTTTTGTTGTTATTCTGTCTCTCACTGTTCAAATAAACCTACCATTAAAATTATAGACTGATCATGTCTTTGTCAGTGGGCAAACGTACAAAATCAGCAGGGGATCAAATACTTTTTTTCCCTCACTGTATATACAGTGGGGAGAACAAGTATTTGATACACTGCCAATTTCGCAGGTTTTCCTACTTACAAAGCATGTAGAGGTCTGTAATTTTTATCATAGGTACACTTCAACTGTGAGAGACGGAATCTAAATCAAAAATCCAGAAAATCACTTTTTATGATTTTTAAGTAATTAATTTGCATTTTATTGCATGACATAAGTATTTGATCACCTACCAACCAGTAAGAATTCCGGCTCTCACAGACCTGTTAGTTTTTCTTTAGGAAGCCCTCCCGTTCTCCACTCATTACCTGTATTAACTGCACCTGTTTGAACTCGTTACCTGTATAAAAGACACCTGTCCACACACTCAATCAAACAGACTCCAACCTCTGGCCAAGACCAGAGAGCTGTGTAAGGACAAAGGACATCAGGGATAAAATTGTAGACCTGCAGAAGGCTGGGATGGACTA